TATATATATATATACCGTGCTCTGCTTGATTTATGCATATAAATAGCTTTATTATAATTCATGCAGAGAGTATTACAGATTATGTGCACACTGCAATGTAGGTAGAACAGGAAAGTAAAAACGGGAAAAAGTAGAAAAGATGAAAGAAAGAGGAGATAAAAGGGAGACAATGATAAAACGTCTTCAGTCTGCTTCACCTACAAAGAGGTGTAAATAAGGAACAGCACAACCAACTGATATATGATATATCTATCGCTGAAGTGGTCTTATTTAATCTGACATGTATACTGTGATAGCTGAAGATAAGAATATGGGCTTTCTGTATGGAAGTAAATCTCTAAATACCTGTAACCAAGCACCTGTAGTTGTTTGTGAGAGTGCACTTGTACATGCAAAGTTTAACCAAAAGGAAAATGCTCAATGGTAGTTGTGAAGAGCCAAAGACCCACCCCCCTGGAGCACCGAGGCAAGCGCCGGGGGACCTAAAACCCCAGACGCCCAAAGGGATCCCCCAGAGCATAGGCGCCAAAGAGGGGCCGACCCAGGAATTCCACCCCTCCACTAGGAAAAGAGGAGAAATGTCCCAGAGCAAATCCCCCAGCCCATGCAATGCCGAAGCCCCCAGGAGCGCGCTCTGCCAGCAGCCAGCCACCCCAAAGTGGAACAGGCCATGGGCCCCGGGGACCCGAGGCCACAGGGGCACCCCTCCGCCCTGAACTTCTCCATGTCTTAACATTTTGTTTACTTGTCCTGAACTCATACTCGTCCTGAAATTGCTTTGGTTTGCAATGAATGTTTACTTTTTTTTTAGGTTGCTTTTTAAAATGACTCACAGTTATTCTTTTTTTTTTTTCTTTTTTTTCTACAAAATTTAGGTTTTGGGGATTTATCACATATTTTATTGACATTTTATGTGATAAAACAACTCAAAACAGTGCATAAAATGAAATAGAGAATATAAGAGAAAGAGCACAGGGTTAGTCGTTTTAAATGCAGATCCCCCGTTAACAGGAACAGTTCTAGGTCTTGACTGAAGTTCTAAATAAGGTTTTCGGTCTGGCCTTATCATCCGAAAACATAAACAGACTCTGATCTATCTTTCAATTGTCGCTCTGGCTTTATATTCATTGTTTTATTTTGTAGATCATAATAATTTATTCAATATGTTCCATGTATTTACTTCAATCCATACTCTTATGAACACACACCAGCTGCCCCTTCTGAAGAAATGTATCCCGAACTGCCACCCATGTATGTAACTATAGAGAATGTGCATTCAGGTATAAATGAAATGGGTTTTTGTTTGTTTGTTTGTTTGTTTTGGTTTCTTTTTATTATTGCATGTTTTGTTTGGGTCTCATCTGACAACCTTCTTTTACACCTTAGTAGAATTTTTCTTTTCTGTACAAACTTCCATCTCAGCTTTGAAACTCCATTCGTTAAATTAAAATGGGCCTCTTGGCATTTTCTATTAGATTTTTTGCCCAGCCTGCCAGCTAAGTTGGCGGCCTTGTCTTGTTAGGTTTGCAGAAATGCCAACTTCCTTTTTCAGATTATAGATTGAACAGTGCTCTGTGAAATGTTCAAAGCCTGACACACTATTTTACAATAAATAAAACTTCCCCTCAACTTTGCTATTCATGACTTGTTCTTTAGTTCTTCTGATCATGATTTCCACATTCTTTAACAAACCATCAGCTGGATTTTTACTAAAAAAAAAAAAAAAAGAAATTTCAACAAATGTGGACACATTAAAAACGCAAAATTTACATCAATTTGATTTGTTGGATCTTTATAGCGAGAGTACACAGCAGTAAAGGGGAACCGATAATAGCAATAATAGAAGTATTTAGAAAACCAGATCTCTTTATGTCATCCTAACAGAATGTTGGTGTTGTAATGTGAGTAATTTACCGCAAGCACTGAATATTTTTACAACATAAACTCAATCACTGTAAAACATATTTATCAGGCAGCTTTTAAAGCCACAGAGTTCCCTGTTAAGCAAAAAATAGTCATGTCCTTTTTAGTAAAGCCCGTCATCTAATATTTAGCAGATTATATATGCAATGAAATAAAAAGTAGTCAGATTTTTTGTTAGAAATTGGTGTGTGTGTGTGTGTGTGTGTGTGTGTGTGTGTGTGTGTGTGTGTGTTAATAATGAAACTTCTTGGTTTAGTGTTTCCAGATGCAAGGATCCTGAGCCCTGCAGGAGTGCTTTCACAGATGCTGCACACTAGTGGCCACTAGAGGAAGTTGTTTCCTCAGGCTGTTTGTATGCCTCTCTCATTGTTGGATCCACACTTGGTTTGCAAACTAAAACAGCCCAAGGCAGGACAGGTACTCGTAAAGCGGCTCTACATGTACTGATATGTGATACTGGGATTCATAAGTCCTACATATGGTCCAATATCCCCCACTCACTCACCCTTTCATATTGACTTCTATTTATTTTGCTGTCATTTTAATGGCCTAAAGCAGACCCTTACCCTAAGCTAAGCCATTTCACTCCTAAACCTAACCTCAACCCAACAAGAGAATGTTTCCTGATGGGGGACCCGTCAACTGGCCCCTACTAGAACATGTAAGTCCCCAAAAGTTAGCCTTTTCATGGGAAATTGACCGTACACTGTCCTCACAAGGTAACAAATACCCACACACCCATGTTTTTTATACATACGGACACTGTATTGACTTCCATTAGTTTTCAAACCTTTCTCTTTTCCAGCCTAGACCATAGCCCAAAAAATTAGGACTAGAAAAAAAGGTCCTCACTATACATCAAAGTGCTCTCTTAACAAGTAAAACATAAAAAAAAAAAAAGCTTGCACTCAGCTGCAAGTAGAAGTGCGCACACACACACACACTTAATCATTCATTTGGAAATAACTCACTACCCAGCAGCAGTTTACTTTATTTTATTACAGCATATGATCATTGATCTGCGAGCAGGCAGGACCGAATCAATGATGAGGACAAATTTTGTTTTTATGGCATATGTTGCAGCTGCAGTGGCAGATATGAATCGCCTGGGCTGTTTACACTGACCTCGCAGTGAAAGCATGCAGAGTGAGAATCATTGATATGACCTATAAAGAACCACCACATGTGGGTACAGGTGCAGGAAGATGCAAAAGGGCATGTTGCTAATTATTTTCTGGTAAATTTTAGTAAATCTAGTTGCTCTAGTTGGCCTGATCACTTGACTTAGAGATTAAAGGAGAAAGAAATGAAATACACATTTAGTAGGGAAAAATAAGACACTTCTGAGAGAAACAACTGAAACCAGTTAGGTGTTAAGATTAATATCACAGATTAATGATAAGCAAAATTAATGCTTTTATTATTTTTTAAAAATAATCTAACCCTGATCATTCAGCACTCCCAGGCTGTTATGTGGGAAATCCTTTTATGCTCTCTACTTTGAGTTAAGACTCTGATTTATTAGCACAACATTTCTCAGCCCTCTGGGAAAACGTCTTTTTTAATGTGCTCTAGGACCAGAGGACTCCTTTAGAGAGTGCATTTACAGCTGTGTTTTTTTTTTTTGGATTAAGGCTGAATTGTGTAATCTCAAGGAGATTAGCAGGAGTACTGGTTAGATTGGTCAGTATCCATGAGAAAGGAGCAGTTTAAGACTGGTACTTTTAAAGCTTCCAGAAAACTGCAAAAAGGGGCTGGTCTCTTCTCCAATGATGTGATTTGGTGGAGCAGAAACAATAAGAAGAGATGGGAGGAGGGCTGAGCCAGTGGGAGGTATGTACCTCAGCTCTTGGGACATGGAATGTTACCTCTCTGGTGGGGAAGGAGCCTGAGCTAGTGCGCAAGGTTGAAAGGTTCCAAATAGAGATAGTTGGACTTACCTCGACGCATGGCTCTGGCTCTGGAACTAGTCTCCTTTAGAGGGGCTGGACATTCTTCCACTCTGGAGTTGCCCCTGGTGAGAGGCGCCGAGTAGGAGTGGGCATTGTTGTTGCCCCTCAGCTTGGTGCCTGTACGTTGGGGTTCACCCCTGTGAATGAGAGGGTTGCCTCTCTCTGCATACATCTGGGGGGACGGGTTCTGACTGTTGTTTGTGCTTATGCGGACTACCTTGTTCTTCTGGGGGACTATAACTCTCACATGGGCAATGACAGTGAGACCTGGCGAGGCTGGGTTGGAAGAAATGGCCCACCTGACCTGAATTCGAGTGGTGTTGGACTTCTGCGCTCGTCATGTATTGTCCATAACGAACACCATGTTCAAGCATAAGGGTGTCCATATGTGCTCTTGGCACCAGGACACCCTAGGCCGTAGTTGAATGATAGACTTTGTTGTTGTTTCATCTGACCTGGGGCCA